TTAAAAATAAAATTAAACACAAATTGTTTGGGGTATAAATATTGATATAATAAAAAATATATTAGGGGGAGAAAAAAGTTCATAGGAAAATGAGATATGCTTGAAGGAGTGTTTAAAGGATAAGGTCAGTGTGGGAGAGAGCTCTTTTCTGAAATAGCAAAGATTATTTTAGGACATTTGAGTTTACATTTATATATTTTGGGCTATGTGGAAAAATATAAACATTGGCTATGTTGAAACTAGTCTCTAAAATGCTACCAAAACCCAGCTTGCATGGCCTAGTTGTTGAGCATCAGCCTATGAACCAGGAGGTCACAGTTTTATTCCAAGTCAAGTTACATGCCCAAGTTGCAGGCTCTATCCCCAGTGTGGGGCATGCAGGAAGCAGCCAATCAATGATTCTCTCTCATCATTGATGTTTCTATCTTTCTGTCCCTCTCTCTCCTCTCTGAAATCAGTAATCATCTGAGATATGCAAATCAAAATGACAATGAGGTACCATCTCACACCTGTCAGAATGGCTATCATCAAGAAATCAACAAATGACAAGTGCTGGCAAGAATGCAGAGAAAAAGGAACCCTTGTGCACTGCTGGTGGGAATGCAGAATGGTGCAACCTCTGTGGAAAACAGTATGGCGTTTTCTCAAAAAACTAAAATTGGAACTCCCATTTGACCCAGTTATCCCACTTCTAGGAATATATACAAAGAAAACAAAAACAACAATCAAAAAGGATATATGCAACCCTATGGTCATTACAACACAATTTACAATAGCTAAGACTTAGAAATAGCCTAAGTGCCCCTCAGCAGATGAGTGGATTCAAAAAAATATGGTCCCTCTACACAATGGAATAGTATGCTGCTGTAAAAAGAAGGAACTCTTACCATTTGCAACAGCATGGATGAAACTGGAGAGCATTATGCTAAGCTAAATAAGTCAGTCAGAGAAAGATAAATATCACATGATCTCACTCATTTGTGGAATATAATGAACAACATAAACAGATGAACAAAAGCAGATCGAGAGACAGAGAAGCATTGATCAGACCATCAAACCTCAGAGGGAAGGTAGGGGAGGGTGGGGGTAAGGGAGAGAGATCAACCAAAGGACTTGTATGTATGCATAGAAGCATAACCAATGATTCAGACACCAGGGGGGTGGGGCCATCAGTGGGGGGAAGTTGGGGACAAGGACACATATGTGATACCTTAATCAATAAAGAAAAAAATATACACTATAAAAAAGTAAAGTTAAAAATGTCACCAAAAGTGTTCATGATAAATGGATCATGTTGCTTTATGATGAAAAACTCCAAACTCCCCTTGCTGTTTACTTGACATAAAATAAGGATGAATGGTTTTAAGGACTATAATTTGATCTTTCACTATCTTTCTATTCATGTCACTATTACTAATCCCTTCTCACAGCATCACTCTCCAGTTCTCCATTAAGCGCCTCATTCTTTACCACTCACCTCTTTCACAGCTTGGCACATTTGTACAGTCACTTTGATTTTATTTCCATCTTCCCTTTTCTTCTTCACTAAACCTGTTTCTACTCATTCTTTCAGACTCAACTCAAAAGTTGATACCTTTCATAAGGGGAACACGATGTGATATATATGATTGTTTAGCACTGAACTATATCCTTGAAACAAATACAGATGAAAATTGAAAGAAAAAAAAAGTTGATACTAGTTTGGAGCTTTTCCCAAGAAATCCAACCAGAATTCCATTTTGTGTTCCCAGGAATAAGATTTGTGTCATCCCCTTAATTTCCTAATTTATTGCAACCCCCTTTTTTTATACTCTTATCTGTAAAAATCAGGTGCCATATATATTACTTATCTTCATACTTCTAAGATCTAGAACAGTGCCTGGCACCTTCTAGAAACTCACTATATATGTAGAGTGAGTGAATTAACAGATAATTAGGAATTGAGGAAGGTATGGATTCCCTAAAAATAATGTCTAGCTATCTTAGTTTCCTTTTTCCCCCCAGAGGAGCATGGGAATTAGGAAATTAAGGGGATGACACAAATCATTTCCGAAGACACAGAAGTTTGTCATATATTTTCTGAACATAGAACGTGACATACTAGTAGACTTTTCCAAGTTAAATAATAAAGCCGGTTATGTAAAAGAAAAATGGTTTCATATTCAGTTGAATAAAGTGTTTCTAAATGAATTAAGTTTAACCTGCTTCCAAATTTTATGGAACAAGTGTCTGTATAAAATACAGTCTAGGGACAAAAACAAATAGATGGACTAGAGTTCCATATCTACCGAAGTCTGTTCAATTGACCGAGGTTAACCTCTAAGCAGGTCTCCATTCTCAAAATGACATGTACAGGCTTATACATGACTTAGGTGAAAATACAGATGAATTCTTCATGATATCTATGAGTTAAATCAATCTTGGAAAGAGCGCTAAATAATTGGATTTGACAAGGTCTTATAGGTTAAAAAGATCAGCCCAAACTGACTAGATGAGATTAAACGGGCTAAGGATAAAGTCCTGAACTGAGGTTTTTAAAAAATCTATTGCAAAGCATAGCACACGAGACTTCACTGAAAAGCAGTTTTTGCAGAAAAGGTGTAATACAAAACACAAGAAGGAAAATAAAAGTGACAAAATGAAATGGAATTTTGTATATGTAACAGATATATAGCGTTCAGAATAAGTATGGTCATTATAGTGTTATCCAATTTCATTATGCAGTGGTCTACAAGGTCAAGGTCTAGGCATTATATTTAAAGAGACATTAACAAACTGACTTCTACTCCAAAGAAGAGTGACCAAAGTGAACTATCATTTGGCTGGCTGACATCTGTTGGTTACATGCCATGTGCTGGGACTTTGAATGCATTTTCTCACTTAGTCCTCACAACAGTCTTATCAGGTCTACCTTGGAATGGCTAGTGGGTCACTAACACCCCCTTCAGACAGGACCTCTCTCCCCAGTGCTAGATGTGCTGATTGTTGATAGACTACAGCCCAGTCCCTGCCTTAAAACTTCACAGGAAAAGGTGACTTTAACAAAAAAAACTGTCAATTAGCCCTAACTGGCTTTGCTCAGTGGGTAGAGCCTCGGCCGGCAGACTGAAGGGTCCCAGGTTTGATTCCAGTCAAGGGCATGTGCCTTGGTTGTGGGCACATCCCCAGTAAGGGGTGTGCAGGAGGCAGCTGGTCGATGTTTCTCATTAATGTTTCTAACTCCCTATCCCTCTCCCTTCTTCTCTGTAAAAAATCAATAAAATATATTTTTAAAAAAGAAAAAGTATCAATTAAAGAAGGTAAGATCATTGTATTGAGGTTTAATACAAAAAGCTTACATTGAAAGGATGGATATAACTATCATAAAATAAATTAAGAAAGTTAAGAAAATAATGAATTAAATTATTTAATGAAAGTTTAGAAGTTAGAGTAAAAGTCCTTTAAGAAAAAAACTTCTTACAAATGTACATATAAATAAATATACAGAGTGGTTTATCAGATCCTGATTATTAGAAAGAGAAAACTTTAAGGAAAGAATCGATTAATTATATGATTGCAGTTAAATTTATTTTTATGGGTTCTACATTTTTAATTCACTTAAAGATATATACTTAAATAAAAAAGAAAGCATGTTTCCTACCTACAAATTAAAATTATCACCTAGGAGTTCATCTGTCTTTGCTCTCTCTATATCTAACTATTCTTGTACTTCACATTTTTGTAAAAAGTTACTATTAAAAATGGTTATCAAATACATATGTGAAATATCTTATTTCCCTTTAATTAAAATAATTTTGATCCAACACATTTCAGTTTTCTAGATTTTGCTTGAATAATGGTTTATTTACATGCTTAAATGCAGACTTCATCCCATATTTTCCATTGAGATTAACTTTCTAATGACTTCATGGTAGACAATAAATATTAGTGTATTTATATTTGCCTTCATCCCATCCTCCCTCTTTTCTTCTGTCTTAACTCACTCTCATCTTAATTTTTTTCCTTCTGGATTTTCTTTCCTAAAACCTTTTCACACAATCTATTCCTTCTTCCCCATTATAGTAAACTGGGCAATTGCTGGTTTTCTAATTACATAATAATTTGAGTATTATGAGCTTTAATTTCTTTTTTGGCCATTACTACTAATGATATTACTTTTGTGCATGTATTTTCATAACAATAAAAATATCTTTTATAACTTAATATAAAATTATAGCGATGTATAAGAATTTTACTTAAAAAGTTTTTAAAATATTTTATGAAAGCTATTTATTACATTAAAACATAATTTTTAGTAATTTTCTAATATTTGTCTGTCTAATCTTAGAGTACAATGAATCACATTTTTTATATCATTTGAGCTACAAAAAGTAGAAAATATGCATATTTCCAAATTTCTAATCTGACTTGTAAAACATAACAGCAAATTCTATAAATATAGATGTGTGTGTTTGTATATTTATATTATATACACAATATAAATTACTAAAAACATAGCTGGATTTCTAATTAAAATACGTTTTACACTACGTTATTACTTCTATATATTTAAGTTTTAGGGGAAGAACTAGAATGTTTTTATATAAAAAGAGACTAAGACATTTTTTAATAAAAAGTTGTATAACCATATATTTTCTATTTTCCATAAAAATAAGTTTACTATTTGCACTTTCAAGTTTAGAATTTTAAACTATATTCATTTCAGTTAATTTTTTTCTAAGGTATCTTTTATTTTGAATTTTTTACCAAATTCTTACTACACTTGAAATATAATTCCCCTACTTATAAATTTGAGGGAATTAGAATCAGGTTGTAAAGTCAAAATTTTTTAGTAAATACATTTTATGTCCTCACTCTATGTCAGATACAACTGTTCTAAATTTTTAACCAACAGCTCATGTTTTAGAATAAAATCCTGAATCATGACTTATTGAAATGTAAATGATATTTGCTTACATAAATGTTATATGAAATTTCAAAAATTGTTATGTTATACTTACCAGCCAAAGCAAGAATATATTCTTGAAATCTTGTTCCTATATGATTAGTGGCTGTGCAATTATAGCGTCCAAAGTCATTGTCAGATGTAGGTGCAATCTAAAATAATAATAATGATACAATTTTTACAGTTTTAGAACAATATCACAGAAGTTTTAAAATAGACTAGCATGTTTATCATCTTCATACATATTTAATTACTCAGAGTTCCTTGCCATAACTTTTTTCCTACAGTAAGTCAATATCAATATACTAAGTAATATAAATCCTTTAAAGGTGTCATCCATGAAATTATACTATCTACAGGACCAGGTAAATATAGTTTATTTATCAATATATCAAGCAGACTAATGTCACAATTTTGTTAGATTCACTGTTAGAAAAAATCATTAGATATTTATATGTGTAAAGTGCAGAAAGAAATACACTTTGAAAAACATATATTCTGCAATCACTGCAAATGTGAACTTGTACCACACAAGAAACTTGAACCAAAGTAGTAATTGTTTACTCTATTTTAGCCTAAGATCAGGCATATTTAAAGTTCAATAAAGGCTCAAAATATGTCATATTTCTCCTTCTTATGATATTACTTAATATAAAATATCAATGAAGGATGGAGATTCATTTCTAGAAAATACTGAAAGGTTTTTTTGTTTTTGTTTTTGTTTTTTGCAGGAAAACACTGCCCTTATGTGGTAAATCCCTATAGAGAGGCAGATTATTTTGATATCTAATAACAGTTATCTTGCCTCCATTTCTGTTCAGTTCCTATCATTCTCTTTCATTTTAGGTAGAACATAGCTGACCTCAGTCCTTACACATTTGAAATCCATAATTAAATTAACCTTCTGGGACTCTGTTACTGAACATTGGGAACAACCTTATAATTCTAATGTACCGAAATTCTGAAGGACTACTTCAGGAAAGAGATTCTATTATAGTAATTGATAACATTTTCAATCCCAGTAAGTAATATTAAGAGAGAGTATGATTACAAGAGTTGACGTTAATTTCAACTCTATCCCACAAGGGGGGAAATGATTTTGTGGTAATGGGAGGCTATTAACTAAAAATTCAATTTTGAGGTCCACTGAAGTTGATAATTTTGAAAGATACAGCAGTTGTATTGTTCATTTTCTAGTTAGCTGTCCATCTAGGAATAGAGCAAAGGCTGAAGGACCAGAAGTTTGAACAGTTCTCAAGTAGGTAGTAAGTACTCTTAACTGATTGAAAATTCATTTTTCTTACATTTAGTTTTTAATGATCCAGGCTAATTTAATTTAAATAATTTTACTAATGAAGAGGGAATTGGGCTAAAAAAGTCTTTATTCTATAGGCATAAGATAAAATTTTTTGTAAATTCCAAAGGGAAGAATGTCTATTGACTATGAAAGGCCAAGTGGGTACATAGCCATAGGGCATACTATGCCAACAAAGATGAAAGGTTCCACCATAAACCATTGACCTGTCAACTTGATCTTAAACTTCTCTTCTCCAGAAATGTGTGAGGGTGAAAATGAAGGTTTCTTTTGTTTAAGCAATCACGTCTGTGGTCTTTGGTTTTGGCAGCCAGAGCACACTAATATATTGCCCCAAAGCAGTCAAATTCATCTGTTGGTAGCTATGGTTAAATTCCTAAAATTTAAGTTAAATCTGACCAAATGTTTTATGAAATTGAGTTCCATGTCAATTTGCCAGTCGCTAGCCCTAATACAAAGAAACCAATTTAAATTGATTTAGACAAAGTGATTTAATTATCAGTCAATGATCCAAAGGTTTGGGAAAGTGATGGCTAAATCCTTTTACGAACCAAGCTTTTACCTAAGTCCAATTGCCAGGTAGTAGAGTGTATAGGGCTCCAATGAGAATATCTTTAAGTTTATCCAGTACGGATAATTAGATGTTATTCTAAAACATAGAGTTTTAAAGATTAGTTCTCTCTGTCCACCTAATGTCTGCAGTAAGTTTGTCATCATTAGGGTGACTCCTGAGAGCCAAGAACCACCAGGGTTCCAAAGGAATGGTGCCTCAGGCTCAAGTTGGAAAGAAAAGGGAAACAGAGCAATGCAAATAGAACTAGTGGGAAAGGTAGCATCTGTTCAGATAAATAAGACTGTTATACTGAAGAACAATCCCAATTGTTCTGAAAGCGTCATCAATTGGAAGGGCTGATGATCATTGTCATAGGCACTTAAACTGTAAATTAGTGCACACACAATCTGCAATTTAGTAAATACAAGGTATTGTATTCAAATAGGATTTAAAGGCCAGGCACTTGGCAGCACAAAACTATTACCTTTACCATCTTAACTGTAAAACTAAAATGAAATGAGGCATTGAGTAAGTAAATCGGGATTATTTAGAAACTTGTGAATATATAGCAAGCACATCCCATGTATGTATGCCGGTCTAAGGAGAAGGAAGTATCAACACAGAACCAATGACTAGTATAAACACTGAAATTGTAATTTGTGCCTCAAGAGCAAAAAAATCACCTCTTTGTTTGTCCTGATATAATTGTTTTAATTTTGCGAAAATAAATGAATGAGAAATAACGACTTTTGCTATATACTCATATTTCTATATACATAGTAAAATGTTAATCATTAATGGGTCATAATCCAAATGCATAAAATTTCCCTTTTTAGTAAATAAACACAGGTTTTATATGCATTCTGTAACATAAACATATGATAGTATATTCATTTGTTAAGATTTTTAAACATATTGTAAAATAATAGGTAATGACTAAAATAGTATAATTTATTGATATGTACACAAGGACTTACCTCTAATATCATCTTTCTTCCTGTACTATATGTCTTTAAATTAGTAGTGTTTTTAGCTGGCAAGACTAATTTCTCTCTTCTCCAGTGTACTGATGCTGGTGGATTAGATTTCACATCACAGCTTATATTGATCGGATTTCCTTCCCAAGAGTAATAAATTGTTTGGTTTGATATGAACTTGGGAGCATCTATAAAGCAATAGAACATAACCGATTTACACTCCTTTCATTAAGATAATCACTTAATTACTGTAAACAATAACAAGTATGACTTGACTGCAAACAACCATTCTAATTTCATATATTTAGTATGTGATATCAGAACTCATAAAAACAAGTCATTTGACTGTAAAATAATTTTAATATTAATATAAGAGTATTCAAAGTTGATCAATTATTAAAATATGAAACAATGCTCAGAGTTAAGATTGCTTTTAATATTCTGACAAAAAAATATCTAACCAATAAATTAATGGCTACCCACATTTGGAATTTATTTCTCAAACAACTGGTATTGTAAAGTGAGATTTTAGTATAAAACTTAAAAAAATCAGTACCTGACAAAAAAAATATCTAACCAGTAAATTAATGGCTACCCACATTTGAAATTTGTTTCTCAAACAACTGGTATTGTAAAGTGATATTGCACATCTACAATATAACAGAAACTAGATTCCTGTACATTATGTTTTATAAATATCAAAGAGTAGCAAATCAGCCACATTCATTGGCATAAGGTGGGCAGATGTGACATCAAACAATAGGGGTTGGGCCATTGTTTGAAGAAGAATGTGACTCAAATGTGACTCTGGGAAAGACAACACGTCAGGACTACAGCCTAAGAAAGATGCAGCTATATTTCACCATGATAAATCAAAATTGTAACATCCACAAAACAAGGCCTTTACAGAAGAGTAGGCCTTTTTTATTATAGAAGGCTTTTCATGTTGTATGGAGGAAATAAATGTTGCCAGTTAAAGAAATAAGAAAATTCAGAGAAGTAGAGAGAAATATGGCATAGGCAGTAAATATCACTTTAATAAATTAATATCTCTATTTTATTATTATTATTTTAATTCTCACCTGAGGATATTTTTCAATTGCTTTTTAGAGAGAGTGAAAGAGATGGGGAAGACAAAGAGGAGTATCAATGTTAGAGAAACACACTGGTTGGTTGCCTCCTGCATGTGCCCGATCAAAATCTGGAGGAGAACCTGCAGCCAAGGTATGTGACCATGACAGGAATCGGACCTGGGAACCTTCGTTCAAAGGCCAATGCTCTATCCACTGAGCAAAACTGGCTAGGGCAATAAGTTAATATTTTTAAAATTGGAGAATGCACTACATACTACATGAGAGGAAATAATATGAGGTGCTCAGTGTTGAATATTTTGGGAAGTAAATTATCTTTAGGCTCCCATTTCTATGCAATAATTATATGATTAATAAAAATGTATGCAATACTTCATAGACTGTGAGAAGATGACTATGTCAAGCTGGCGATAAAATGAATACACACTTTAAAAATCAAGGAACTAAGTTCACTTAGCTGTCATCACAATGGGAAGATCTCTAAAGAGAAATTATTTTGATTTTATGAAATGGCAGCTGGTTAGGCAGAGAGCCAGGTTGGATCCCTTCAGCATTCAGAAGCGCTATATCCAGACCTCGACTGGCTCTCTTATTTCAAGTTTCCAGCATAAGAAGAAAGAACAAAAGTGTGCCACTATCTGAATCTGTCACTTTCTCAGAGTTGGGGTCAAGAGAGTCACATTCCAGCTGCGCCAGGAGACATCCAAAGAAACATTTAAGACTGGGTGACACGTTTCTCCTGTTTTGATCACTGTGCTTTGTGTTTTATTAATTTCCCTGCCTTATTGCTGGGACTTAGAGCTGAATGGGCAGCCGGCACTCATCACTATCGATACATTCCTGTCACCGTCCAAGGCTTCCTGACTTGATTCCTTGCTTCACACAAGCTTTCATTCACTTTCTCTTATCATTTCCTCTCAGGCCGGCAGGCTGTTTGTTCTGAACATGGCTTACTTGTGGCTGGTACCTGTGACCTAAGTCAAGTCTTACTGCTTGCTGAGTGCTGGCTTGAATTTCTGAATGCTGTCTGCTCATGAGAGGCCTGAAGTTGATGACAAAATACAACACAGGCATTGGCAACTGAAATATAAAAATATCTGACCTGAATTCCCATTTTTATGAATAACAGAATCAGAGAACTCAACAAATACATTCCCTATATACTATTAATTTTGTGAATCAAATTGAAAAGCATGATCATAGTAAGATTTACAAATAATAAAAAGTAAACGTAAGTCTTTTAAAATCATATGGACAACACAGGCATTGTCCTTGTAAGACAGTATTGCATACTCCCCAAATAATTTACATGCTGTGGTGAAATATTCTGAGGCATACAATTTTAAATATTTTCTTCTTTAATATGAGATTTTTAAGAACCACAAATAGCAACAATTATTTGAATGTGTAATAAAATATTCTATTTTAAAAGCTTTGGCACTCGCCCCAGCCAGTTTGGCTCAGTGGATAGAATGTCAGAGAAAGGTCCTAGGTTCCATTCCGGTAAAGGGCACATGCCAAGGTGGTGGGCTCAATCCCCAGTAGGAGGCATGCAGGAGGCAGCCAATCAATGCTTCTCTCTCATCACTGATGTTTCTTTTTCTCTGCCTTCCTCTATGAAATCAATAAAAATATATTTAAAAAATTATAAAAAGCTTTGGCACCCATTCCTCACCAATAAATCGCAGTATATAAAAATACCACTCACTTATCTGCATTGCCATGACTACACCATGTTCAAGGCCATTACCTGGTCAACTTTTCTTAGAAGCCCTCTCCTTCCTGGCTGACTGGTCTACCAGTTTCTCTTTTAAGATCATATTGCTATCCTACTTAAACTTTTCTATAAGATTCTCTATACACTTATTAAATCAAAATATTTTATGATAGCTTTATACAGTTCTACATTAGCTGGCCTATACCTCTTCTTTGGCCTTGTCAACATTTGGGTTAACCTGGTTCCTTAAAATGTAATCATTCCTAACCTTGCCTGCTTTCAGCCCCTTGCCTACTTGTCTCATCTATCTAATCACTTTTTGATGTATTTCATCTTAATGTAGCTGTGTGTTCCATATTCCTAATTAAGGCATAAATCCCATGAGAGCAGGACAATGATGCCTTTTCTATGGTTCTATGCAGCACCTGAATTTATATTTGATGTTCAGTACGTACTCAGTGAATAACAAGTGAACGAATGAAAACCCAGGATAAGTATGTATGCCAGATATCAACACTCCATTTAACAGGAGAGGGAAAGCATACAGGTATTTGTTTCACTTTCCTAAAATCACAGAACTTAGGACTTTAATGCAGTCTTAATTCTGTAGCAATACATTTGTTTCATAGACCCTTACTGCCTATTTTGTGAAGAAACCAGCCCCTTAAATTAGCTAAAAATCAACTGTACATTTTCTTATATACCTGATGCTCTGTTCAGTCATTAGGTTTTCTCATTTGATTTATGATGAGGGAAACTACCAAGGGAATAAATGCTAATATATCCTTTGGCACAGTTAGAGGATAATTTAATTAATAATTTCATAGATCTAGTTCTGCTCTACATCCACTCTTATGCCAAATCAGCTACAGCAATTAACTAGATTCATTCCATGTGTCGTGGGAATTCCAATGGCTACATGAAATACTAAGTTAGATGTGTGTTTATTGCCAATGTCACCATAGTACTGGAAGTGCATTTTCCATACTAAATTTGAACAACCAAATTATACATAAATCTTAGCATACTTTATGACCCTAGAGTCACTAGCATGATTTACATTGAGATATGACTATATTTGAATTCTTAGCATATACTTTTACTGTTATTAGTGATATAAGTATGACTGGTTATAAGAGAAGTTTGAATATAAAGTAAATTATTTCTCTCTACATTTTTTTCTTTCCTTGTCTTAATATTTCTCCTTCTTAAGTCACATATATAAATATTAATAAAAATACTTTGCTACTTAAGGCTATTTTATCCTCTATTGTTGCTTTATATATTGAATTTTCTGTAAATAGCTATAGTATTATATTTTATTTTTTATTTTTTTAATAAATTTTTATTGTTCATATTATTACAAATGTTCCTCTCCCCTCCCCCCCCTCCATTGCTCTCCTCCACCAGGTTCCCATCCCACCCTTTGCCCTTTCCCCACCTCCCATTGTCCTCATCCATAGGTGCACAGTTTATGTTCGGTCTCTTTCCACATCCCTTTTCCCCCAAGAATCGTCAGTTCACTCCCCTTCCATACCTATGATTCTATTATATTCAATAGTTAATATTGTTCATCAATTTTTTTTTAATTTCCTTGGTTTTTAGATTCACTTGTTGATAGTTACGTATTTGTTGTTCATAGTTTTTATCTTTATTTACTTTCTCTTCAGCAATTCATATAATTCTGGTTTGGTGGTGATGAACTCCTTTAGCTTTTTTTTTTTATTAGTGAAGCTCTTTATATGGCCTTTGATTCTGAGTGACAGCTTTGCTGGGTAGATTATTTTTGACTGTAGGTTCTTGCTATTTATCACCTTGAATATTTCTTGCCATTCCCATCTGGCCTGCATGGTTTCTGTTGAGAAATCAGCTGACAATCATATGGATGCTCCTTTATAGGTAACTACCTGCTTTGCTCTTGCTGCTTTTAATATTCTCTCTTTGTCTTTTGCTCTTGGAATTTTAATTATGATGTGTCTTGGTGTGGTCTTCTTTGGATTCCTTTTGTTTGGAGTTCTGTGTGCTTCCTGGACTTGTAAGTCTAATTCTTTCACGAGGTGGGGGAAGTTTTCTGTCACTACTTCTTTCAGTATGCTTTTGATATCTTGCTCTCTGTCATCTTCTGGGACCCCCATAATTCTGATGTTGGTTCACTTGAAGTTGTCCCAGAGGTTTCTTATATTATCTTCAACTTTCTGGATTCTCTTGCCTTCTTGCGTCTGTGGAGGAGTGTCTTCTGACTCTTTATGTTCCAAATCTTTGACTTGATTCTTACGATCTTCCATTTTGTTTTTAGGACTCTGTATAATATTTTTTATTTCAGACAATGTATTTTTTATTTCTTGTTGATCCCTTATTATTTCTTGTTGATTCCTTATTA